GACTGATCTGCCTCACCTGGGAAGAACGCAATGATGGTGCCAACTTGGGCCAGTGAAGCAACGTCCTCCACAACTAGACTGAAGAACAAAATGACAGTGACTTGTCTGTTCCCCTTCCCCCAATTCCCCAGCACTGTTCCCATCCCCCAATTCCCCAATTAAAAAAAAGTCTTTAAAAAAAAAAAAGAATCTTTGTATGTAAGGGAGTGGAGGGAGGGGGCAATGTGAATATGGCCCTTAGGAAAGTCGTAGCCAAATATCCCTCATCCCTACTCCCTGAGGACTTTTAGAGTCCTCATTAAAGTGCTATTTTTTGTGATGGAGTCACACCTAAAAGTGAGGAGAATTATGAAAATGAAATTGGAAAGAAGGTGTGAAAGAAATTAGGGATAGGGAAAAATGGTAAAAAATGGTTTGAATAGTTGACCCAAACTTGAATTTACCTTACTTCATACTTTTCTTTAGGTTTGGCCCTGGGTCACATTTTTCATAAATATACAAGACCAATTGACCTCTTTAAGAAAGGAGTCACCCCAGCCAATGTTCGCCAGGGAGAAGAATTCCAAACCTGGAAGGTAGAGATATAGCCACCCTAATGACTCCACCAGCTCGTCTCCCTAGCTTGGCTTACCTCAGCAGCTAGGAAGTCTAGTTAGAGCTCTCCTCCTGTACCAATGGCCTTAGGTAGGAGAGACAGAAGATGTCCCTGCATGACTCTTCTTCTTTCAAGCAGGGTCAGGACCACATGTCCACTGAATTCCAATAAAAAGGAAAGCAATGTGGTAATAAGTCCACAAAGAGCATACAGAAATATCTTGTATTCCTATATTCATGACAGCCATCGTTGTTCTTCTAATCCTACCGTTCACTCTGAGGCTCCATATTCTTCTATCCTCAGTGTCCATCTCCACCTAAGCTGTGGCCCTCTTTATGACTCATTCCAATGATTACAATAGTTTCCTAGCTGGTTTCCCTGGATCGAGCCTCTTTTCATGTCAATCTATGCCATTCTTCATGGTTATAATAATTGTCTTGAAATAAAGTTCTGACCATGAATGGATGTATGGATAAATAAATAAGCAAATGGATGAATGTTATCCCCACCTTTGTAAGACTAAGGTATTGGCTTGATTTATTGTTCTCCTGCTTCTTCAGCTCCTAAGAGTAGCGGTTCTTATCCAGAATACATGATATTACTTTTTAGGTGTGTCACAATGATCCATAAGTATAAAATTTTATAAACAATTGCAAAAATTAGAGCAGATTCAGAATTATCCAAATAACGTAGGGATTATTTTTACTCATTTCAACTATGATAAGATTTCTTAAGGGAGATAGAAAGGAGTAGAATTATTACTATCCATATATGAGGCATGTCTTAACATGTGGTCCTTCATGTATGCTAGGAAAGAAAAATGTTTGCATGTAGCTTTCACTTCTTGAATAAGAGAGAAAGATTAAAATGTTGACCACATATAAGACATCCAGTTTTCTTCAGTCAATCACAGGTCTTATATGCTGTGTCTTTTTTGAAGTCTAATGCTTTATCCAGAAACCTTCTTCAGAATATCCATAGAGAAGTCATAATAAGCCATAGCAAGACATTATCAGTCTAGCTAGGCTGTTAGGCAAAATCCATTCCATTTTTCCCTTGCCTAAAATATGAAAAAAAATAACTATTTGCATACTGTCAGCTATAGATAGATAGACAAAAATATAAATAAACAAAACGATCAAACTGCCTTAGAATGAAATCAGAGAAACTTCAGTGACTTATCTACTGCCCAAAGAGAGGTAACTTTGTCTTCCTATTTTTATTTTACTCCCAAATGTTTGAAGCAGCATATAAATTCAGATTGAATGCAACAATAAATTGCTGCATGTTCTTTTTTTTTGTAAATGTTTTTATTGGGGAATTGGGGAAGGGGAACAGTGTTAGGGAATTGGGGAAGAGGAACAGCCAAGTTGTAGTTCTTCAATCTTAGTTGTGGAGTGCACAGCTAGCTCAGCTCCAAATCCAGTTGCCATCCAGCTGCCCATTGGCAGCTCACGGCCTGTTCAGCTCAAGGTGCCATGTTCAATATTATTATAGTTGCAGGTGGGCATAGCCCACCATCCCATGTGGGAATCGAACCAGCAACCTTGTTGTTAGGAGCACGTGCTCTCACCAGCTGAGCCATCCTGCCACCTGTTGGCAGCTCAGTGGCAGCTCAGCTNGAATCGAACCAGCAACCTTGTTGTTAGGAGCACGTGCTCTCACCAGCTGAGCCATCCTGCCACCTGTTGGCAGCTCAGTGGCAGCTCAGCTCGGGCGCAGCTCACTGGCCCATGTGGGAATCAAACTGGCAACCCTGTTGCTCAGAGCTCATGCTCTTAACCAACTGAGCCATTCAGCTGGCCCCATCATTGCATGTTCTTAACTGCCATATCTGCAACCTGGCAGAGAGAACACCTTTAGACATTTTCTGAAGGTCAGTGAGAATATAAAATTTAGAGTTGGGAGAGACCAAAAGAGATTATGTGGACCAGTTTTCTCTCACCTTCAGACTGCCAACACACAGCCAGAGACTTCACCAACCCTCATAGAGGCTGTTATTTCCAACCCACACATACATGCGTGTACTTTGATAATTATGAAAGCTTCCATAATTAAACAAATCATTAATGCATTTTCAGAAGAAATTTTATTAAGAATGATACAAGGGAAGATTCAAAGCTTTAGCAAAAACTTCCATAAATTCATAGGCCTCACCCCATCCACTTATTTCCCCTCCCCACATACCCTTTTTTTAGTACCTGGCAAATGTTGTTGGCTAGAAAGTTAGGCTTTAGGAAAGCAGAGACTTCCCGAAAGTTCCATTGTTTGTAAGCCAGCCTGAGCATGTTGCCTTTTACATTCCATAGCTCACAGCCTTCTATCACATAGACTAAGCCGGCTGAAGATTGACAGTTGGTAACACACTAGTTCTCACTCAGATTTTTCTTCAGATGTTCCCTTCCTGAGCCTTTCCCCTAGGGCAAAAGGTAACCACAAAATAAGGAAACATCAGTCAACCTGAAAACCCTCATCAAGCCCCCATATGAAAGCGAAGGCTTCTGAGGATTACAGGGAGGGAGCAATCTTATGCCAAACCTGGCTCTTCGCACAGCTGTACAATGTGATTACTGATGATTTAGGCAGACAAATCACATATGCAAAGGATGTCCCTCTTCTTCCAGAAGTGTGTTTTGACTCAATTGATATTTTCTGTGGATTAGAATGGTTCGCCAAGAATTACAAGAAAAGAAAAGGTGGTACCAAAATATTTTTGTGGCTTTTTCTGTCTACTCTTGTCCCAAACCCGGTGATATGTGGGTTTATGGTTTTGTTCCACGTGAACTCCCCATTCTGAGTAGTCTAAGTACAGAGATGGTTCTTAAAGCTAACAGTCGTCGCCCCAATAAACTTTAATTTTAAAGAAAAATTGACACAGGAGGAAAAGGCCACATCTCTTTTCTCTGCTTGGGTGGGCAGGGAAAGAGGAGTAGCGAGGATGGCTACTCTTTGACTCTGTCCTTCTCTTTGATAACTTCTTCTCAGACAGCCTCCCCATCTCTGATCAGGTTTGGACAAGCAGATAGTGCAGGGTTCTTGGAGAGTGAAAGAGAAACATTTAACTTCTAAAGCATCCTTTAGAACGTTATTTGTTTATTACATTAGCAAGTGCCAATTCTTATTGACCAACAATGGCTTCATAGCCTAGGTAATGTGTTGAAAGGGTTCCTAGGTCGAATCTGGGTTCTGGAATAAGAATGGCATGATTGAGTACCAACATATGGGTACAGGAAGAAGTAGTGGCTTATGTGTCAGTTGTTTTCCATCTCACTGCAGCTTCATGTTGCCCATTGAATTACTAAATTTCAGACAGTCTTGTGTTTATCCTCACAATCACCCTTTGAAGTCCCAGTATTATCCCCATTTGCAGATGAGAAAATTACTTGCTTTTGTGTTATTTTCAGATTTTGAAATTCACAAATGTTTGGAGATATAGTCCATGTAAACTCAAGATTCTTAAAAAGTTAAAATGAATAATAAAGAAAGCCATAAACGAAAAAAGAAGTAAAGGGAGACAATATCCGAGTAGAATGAATTGCAACCTGAGCTGTATCTGCAGAAGGGAGAAGGGGACTTGTACAGTATTTTCTTCTTGGAGTCCTATAGTGACTCTAGACCCTGCCTGTAGCAGGAAGGCCCCAGGAGCTATACTCTTGGGTGAGATCGGAGGAGTAATGGATTAGAAAAGTATAGCAGCCAACTCAGTAGGTACTTACCTTAAGCGTACTATATGGTATTAAAATTCTCACAATCATTTTCTAATTCTGAAGCAGGAAATTAAAGTGTTTTCTCTAATTCATCCTCTTAGAACTAGTCTTTACCTAAGGATCCCCAGCCTCACCCTAGTCAAGGGCCCAGAAGTGTCTCAGCCAATAGGAATGGTACAAAAATTTCTTATGAACAGATATTTTACCAACTTACAAACATTGCTATTCTATTGCAGGGACAATAATAGTAAAGAAAAGCAGCACGAAGGAATTCTATAATACAGCAATGACGGATTTTTTATCAGTGGAACGGCCAAGCATAATTAGCAACTTGAGCTTTGTCACCAGGTAAGAGCCTCAGAGAACCCTGGTCCCCTATGGTTTTCTGAGAATCATAGGGCAATAAAAATTTGACTTAAACCAGAATATTTGCTTTATCAGCTCCTATACTGACCAATGGAATTGTTCTTAGCCAACACGAATTCATCCATACTTCTCCCAGTATCATTAAGCTAAGCAAATATACCCCCCTCAACATTCTTCAAATAGTTTGTACCTATGATAACGAAAGGTTATGTACTCAGTTTCTTTCATGTCACCTTTCAGGCACTCTAGAAATGTGAGTTGGGATGGTATTTCAACTATTCCCAACTGGCTTTTCTATTATTAATCTATTTCCTATTTCCAACAAATTGATGATGAGATTGCCTTTGTTTCGGAATCTGCAATGTAGGGTCACTAAATTCTTCCTCCCTGGCTCTCTTTCTCCTGCAGCTCTTCAGTACATTAAAACCTTGATTAATTAGAATGCTGGGTTGGAGGTAGAGGGTGATCTGTCTAGTTGATTTTAAATAGAGGGTTGATCTAAAAGTTCTATTACTCTGAGCTCTATTGTGGATAACTATTATATGTTCGCAGAGTTTCAGTTTAGTAGCTGCACCATACCAAGAAAGCCCTTAATGACTAAGAAATGTGATTGCATTATCAGAAAAGCATAGTCATTATGCTCTGGCATTACATAATGTAAATTCAAATGCTGGCTCTAAGCTGTGTGAACTTGGGCAAGTTGCTTTGCTTCAAGGTGTCTCAGTTTTGCTATCTTAAATGAGTATAGTAGTAATGAATACTCTGTAGGTTTTTTGTAATGATTGAATAAGTTTAAGTATTTAAAGTACTTTTCTTGATTCCTGGCTGAGAGTAAGTGCTCATTAAATGTTCCTTATTATTGCATTTATCAATTATTATATCTAGAAACGTGCACAAAATTGGACTGAATATGTAGTAAGTGCAGAGCCTTCCAAAGATGTGGATTTTGAAATAAATCCTTGATCTTGTTTTTGCTATAATTCACCTCTTTCTTTTAATGCGTTTTCTTTACATGAAAACTCATGCTGTTGTTCAACTAAGGATTCTGGGTAGATGGGTTGTGGGTCTGGTTAACAGAGGTTTGACTGTACCTCTCCTAGAGGTAAGGCAGGCCTTAAATGTCTGAGCCACCACTTCATGTGTGCCCTGAGGAATATAAAAGTCCTAAGACTTATAGTTTCTGCCCTTCTTTGCCTTTCATTCCAGGGTTTTATGAAACTACATGAGATAATTTATGAGAAGGGAGTAGAAACTATTTAGAGGAAAGGTGCTATGGAATTTCGTGAATTTATATTTTACCTCACACTTAATGATAACAAAACAGCTACAGACTAGCATTGGGATTTGCAGATAAATTTTTTTCTTTTAAAGCAGCCGGTAACTAAGTATTTATTGAATACCTATGTGTGCTAAGTAAACACTACAGACACTGTGCTCAGTGCATTTGTAGATACGGAAATCATGCTTCAACTCCTATGCAATCTAGTTGGGCAGACAAGATGAATTCAGATAAAATCAAACAGAGGCCAAATGAGGCAGCATTCCTTTAAGTGCTACATTGATGATTCTAGCAGGTCAAAGGAGGAAGAGGTCAAGGAGGGCTGGATGGAAAGTTTCCTGTGGGAGATGGGATTTGGGAAGGAGGAAGAGAGTGAGCATCTCAACTCCTGTGAAGGATGGTACATAGGCCAGGCATGGGGAAAACATCAAGCTTCCATGTACCAGCTAGCCTGATAAGAAGTGAGAATTCATGGTAGAATACTGTGAGAAATAACACCTCAAATTTCTTAAGAATACATTCTTGGCTATTGGTATTGTGCATGTGAGTACATGAGTGTGTACATTATATTTATGTTAATACAAAGTTATTACAAAAACAAAATGATTCACATCTGTAAACTGTTTAGATATATAAAGACAACATATATGATGACACATGAAGTACTCCAACCATGCTTATGTTTTCATTTATTCTTTGCCATGGCTTCTCTGTGATAATTCATGGATAATCAGAGCCACAAAAAAATCCTCAAATGTAATTTTAGCCATTTAGTTTCACAGACTTTCCCCACATTCTTTAGCACAGCTATAAAAATGAAATAATTTAACTTATTTGTATTTTGCCCATTGTCTTTAATTCCCGCATTGTGTATGATAAATAAAGAAATGATCCAAAGCAGGCATCTAAAAGGAGAATTGATCCAGATGGCCTAGTCCATCCACAAACTGGGTCCATCAGCCTTATGTCTAGCTAGATGGTCCCTGAATATGCTTTAAAATCCCCTACAGAAAGTCAGAGACAGACATAGGTACCCATCCATGGGTAGGTGATAGTTACCCTTCAAATCATCTCTAAAGATGATGCTTAGTTAACTTACACCTCTTAATTCAAAATAAGATGTGTTTACATGAACTACAGAGGCTTAAAACAAACACACCAATTAGGACCATACTGCTGATTAGACAATCATATACCCTTAGATAGATAAGTGCAATTTGTGGCTGAATTTCTGTGGTATTTCATCAATGGAGTTGGTTAGCTCAATTGATTTAAGTACAGTGTTAATGGGATCAATGACAGAGCCTGCTCCCACTTAGAACTATAGAATAGGGTGGCTCATTTTTTTTCAGGGTGAAGATAACTCTAGCCAGCAAACTGGCAAACATATGTACATATGTCGTGGATAACAACAACGAGTGATAAAATAGACTTGATGGCTTCATAGATACAAATAGGTATTATTGGGAAAAAAACATCAAACACATGGTGTGTGCTATTTATGATCCATTTTTTGATGTGTTAATAGTATTACATTCATATAGCAAAAGCAGCATAATGTTATTTATAGTTTTGCTGACAATGGGCCTGATGCTTTTAAAGATGTAATCTCCAGGCCACCAGTGGGTTTTCTGGTCAGCTCAGAAACTGCTATCTTCTATGCTTAGTACTTGAAGCAATACAGACGGCCCTAACTTATACAAAAGTTATTGTCCCATATTTCATTGTATCCCTGTTATAAGCAATGTTATAAATAGCATTTAGGTTCTGAGACTAACACTCAAAAGTCTATTTAATAGATAATAGTTGAATATGTATTTGTTAAATAAATAAACACTGGCCCTATTCACCTAAGTTCTGTGTCCTTAAATCAAGGAGTCATGTAATATGAGATAAAACGAATATTTCCTCTTCCTTTCCAGGGTGATAAAATTAGACCTATGCAAAATTTTATGATAAATAACGATGAATCTCGACTACTCCTGGAACCCCTTTGTCTTTGCTTCTAGTTCCTTTATTCTGATCGCCCTACTTTGGGTGAGCTGAGAAGAATTCTGCCCATTTTACCTGTTCTACAATTATTTATTATTTTCTTCCTCTTCTCTATCAAAAATCACTTTTTCAATAAAACTAATTTTAAGTAGACATTAACAAGAAAATATTTAGCTACAACTAATTCATATTATGGTGTGACTGACCAGTAACACAATAACCACACTAAGTCATTCGTGTTTTTAAAAGTAGGTGTTTATAAACTCAAGTAGATATTGATAGATATCTAGTCAGTGAAACAAGGAGAGGCAGACATTTCCAAGCAGCATATAATGCATTTGGGTCAGGAGAGGAAACTATCTTTAATAGAAAAGCTTGTCTTCTTTGGGCTTATCAGCCCTTCCATAGAAATCCCCCCTGTGTGTCTCTAATTCAACTCTTCTGGACTACATTGAAATCTAAATACCTACTTTCCCACATAACTCCTCTTCCCACTATGTCTTTGTGAAACTTATACCCAAGATCATATTTATAATATTAACTTCACACACTCCATGTTCTTTTAGAGATACCAGAGATCATAAATGTTATATTTTTCTTCTTTTCCTAATGCTCAACCTGGCCTTAGCTCTTTCAAGGTCAAGTGGCCCACAGATATCAGCCATCAGATTGTCACTATAGCAGGCATGAGCCTTAGTTTACCATTCTCTTTAACCTTGAAGCTTCGGTTTCCTCATCTGCAAACTAGAGATAACATTAGAACCTAAATAATTGAAATGTTGGGATCACTGAATGAGATAAAACATATTAAGTGTGGAGTACCTGACACACAGTAAAAATTGAGCAAGTGATAAATGGTTCATGCTATTGTCATTCTGGTTCCCCCACCCCGCTCTGCCATCATTCCTCGGCTCTTAGGTGCCCCTGCTTTGCAACCAATTTCTTTGTACCCCTTTCTTTGTACCCCTTTCTTTCACATTCAGAGGGAGAGAATTTAAAGTCTAATATCTTCCAAAATTTCACTATCTACTACCTACCACCCATAGGCCATCAGCTCAATGGAGCATATCAATAGGGTTTTCAGTGAAGATCTATAATGTAGCACCTCCCACTGGGTTAGTCACTTTGCCACGTCCAATTCTGCCCATAGCTTGCCATTCCCCCTCTAAAACACTTTTTGACGGCAGTTCCAGCTCCTCCCTTGGCTATTTTCCAGTGCCTTCCAGCACAACTGATCCCGTGGCAGTCTTCAGTTTCTGAACAAATTACAGCCTGTTTTGAAGGACTGCCAGGATACCCTCTTCCAGGCCAGAAACATGTTAGTGTAAGAGGTTTAAAGACCATGAGGACATGGAGAAATCCATCCAACTGGGAGAAATTGTTTGTTTCTCTTCTGGCACAGCCACTCCTGGCCTTACGTAATTTATGCCTAGGCACAACTCCTGAAACATCTGTCCTCATGACCTCTCACTTTTAGGTATTATGCCCCTTCTACCACACACACACTGTTCTCTTAAGAAATGAAGCAGGACCCTTCCTCTATTTTTATTCTCAGTTCTGCACACTTCATTGAATTCTGTGCCCGAGATGATCCAAACAAGAGAAACATCATCTTTTAGCCTCAGTGATGTCTGAACTATTGAGGACCAGCTTCCATGGTCTTTCCAGAGGCAGAATACTAGATATAAATCACCATGCATGGTTCCTCTTC